ACTTTTTCTTCCCAATTATGAACTATTCATTATTAACCAAGTGGATTACTTATTCCTTTTCAAAATATCACCTGTATGTAAATTACAATAAATAACTAACTCAATAACCTCATCAAATATATATATCTAGTCACAGAACTACAACACGTAGACCGGACAATATCCAGATACACTTATACAACTCAAGCATAAACAAACATGTATGATAACAATGTGGCATGGACAACCCCCATGCTCCCCAAATAAAATGACATAATCATCATGTCTCAAATACAATAGCTATAAGATGAGAATCAAGCATAATCATGTAATAAAGATAAAATAGTAAGCATGCATCAGTCAGCTCAAGTCCGGCCTCCTACCGCCAGAGGTGCCTGTACCTGAAAATGTGCCCCAACACGGGGTGAGATCTCTAAAAAGAAATCTCAGAAGGACAAGGGGTCTTCAAGGATCTCTCCACCCCAAGCTCACTTACATGTGCAATATAAGTTCCAAAACAGAATAAGGGTATAATTTCATAATCTGTGCAATGCAACATATATCCATGTCATGTGTGTAAGCATCCTACTGGCCAGAGAATAAAAGGTAGGGTTTACATACGTCTACAACCTACAGTACAAAGCTCCTCGCCTGTACCTCATCCACGGAGTTACCATCTTGTATGTCTCCACATACTCAGGGGTTACCGTCTAGGTGGAATATCAGATACATATCATATGGCATTTGCACTCAAAGAACAATTCAATAGCATATCAATAATCATCACATATTTTCATACCAAAACACAGTATGCATATAAATCATCCCTCCATGAGGTATGGTGGAACCAAAAATGGGCAAAACCGAGGAAACGAAAGCTTACCTGTAGTGCCAAAATCCCTATCCAAAGACTCGGTAAACACAGACACACCAACAATCTCACAACACGTCAATTGCAATCTGTTCATATGAATACACAATTTAATATTCAGAAATCTCAATTTCATAACCATTACACAATGTCTTCTCTTTCGTTTACATCCTTTTTAATTCATAATTATCACGTGCTAAACTTCACTATTAAAGGTACTAGCGTTTCCCAACAGTACACTGACTTCCTAGGGCTCATGCCCTAATGGGAACTTTCCCACGCATAAAAACTGGTGTCTGGTCATTCTGACAGGGGGTAATCGATTACATATAGTGGGTAATCGATTACTCCACATGGTAACCGATTACCAAAAACAGAGTAATCGATTACCACGCGAACAGAACAGAATTCTGCAGAATTTTTCCACATAATTCGCGACTGCAATGGTTCCCAAAGGTCCAAGGTCTAGTTTTTTCTCAAAACAGCAGTTCATTATCACTTATCATGCATAGATTAACAACCTATAACTTGAATAATCAAAGTTCCATCTTTTAATGACTCAAACAAGCTAAAATCATGAAATTTCAAGGGAAATGGTCAATGGTTACCTATGGGCCTTTGAACTCAGAAAAAAGGGGAGACTTTGAGGACTAATGAAGTGCTCCAAGCCACTGACTTAGTGGTGCACTGAAATCTCTACACCAAGGTAGGTTCTTTCCCTTCAAAGCTGTTCTTGAAGCTTCAATGGAGTTGGAACACACTCACACTCCCACAACCAAGGAGGCAGCCCTTACATGCTCAGAAAACAGAACCTCAAGCTCCCAAGAACACTCTCCCCACTCCCCCAATGCTTGCTACAAGTCTACACAATGATGGAGGAGGGTTTTCAAGAAGAAAATGTGGAGTCTTTGGTGCAAAAATGGAGGAAAACTCAAGTTTTTTGAAGAAGGAGAGGATGGCAGCAACCAAGGCACGTAGGATTAATTAGAATTCTGACCTAGGTTAGTGTGCCACACTATTTATAGTCTCCTTAAGTTTAATCCGTTGGTATTAGCACTAATAACTCCGCTTATCATTTTAATCTCAAACTTTATGTTCTGAACCTAGCTATTTTTCTAGGATTTTTCATATTTTTATTATAATTTTTTGCAACACTTTGTCAGTACGCGTTTTACATGTCGCTGATATTAGTTCTGACATCAATACTCATAATTATGACTCCAAACTTGGTTTACTCAACTTAGGTATTTTTCTAGAAATATTCATGTACTTATTATAATTTTTCGGGATACTTCATCAGTACACATTTATACCGTGAAGCAGAATCGGTATCTGCACTTTTCGTCAGAAAAGCGACTTTTAGCGTTATTAAGCCCTTATAATAATTATTTAAGTCTTCTCATATTTATTCGACGTCAATTATGAAATTATTTCTTAAACTCATAATTAAAATTATTAAAATTCCTAATTTAACGGTGTGAATTCTTACACCTGACGCCAACCCTCTTCCTTTATCCTGGCTTGGGAAAGACCATGCATGTAAGCACAGATAGGCGGCGTTAATTAGGGTTATTGCATGATTATAAAAATTTAGGATGTCAAGAAATTGAATCCCAATTAAATTAGTAGAATCAATTGGCTTATGATTAACGACGAATAATCTGAAAGAGTGAATTCAAAACATAAGGGGGGAGATTGGGGGAAGTTGAAATCTTAATTACGCTTTTTATCTGTCAAGTAATCCAAAGTTTTAAGTTCTTGGTCTTGTTTTAATTAGTTTTAATATTCGAACCCAAATTGAATTTCACAAATGATTTTGATTGTCCAACTTAAGCGAAAGTAGTGAATTGGTGATTGAAATTATAATCCTCTCGTGGACACAATTTTGTATTCATTACACTTTATTACTTGCACGACCGGTGCACTTATCGAGTTCCATACAATCAACTTTTAATGGCAAACAATATGCAATAATGAATTATATGAGGATACATTCTTCCATCTAATATTCATGAACCACTTATTTCTTTAATCTGATTTAAATAATGAATTTTACTCCTTTCTGCGTTTATATTTGCATCCTTCCCATTCCATTTATTCATATCAGGCGAGCGTGGAAGAAAAATGCATGGGAACGTGCGTGGAAGGAACAAGGGCCATGCATGAAGTATTCACTCAAAATTATGAACAGTGTTTTTCCACACGATATAAAAGAAAGTCTTCAAAGGTGAGCTGGTTACAGGGCACAGGAGCAACCTACCAAGCAAATTATATAAAGTAATTTGAAGCAAGATACGGAAGTATATATATATATATATATATAGAGAGAGAGAGAGAGAGACTCCTATTCATATATGCCAACCACTAAACAACAAAACTATGACGTAGCAAATTCAAAATTAACAACCTGCATAAGTGCATATGTCTAATAAAGTGAACACTATGATACAACTATTTTTATGATACAACTATTTTTTGGCCATCGTTTCCATGTCAAACGAATAGACGTTCCAGCCACAAAACTTGCACTAGTAGCAAGCTAATAATTATATATATTCTTTGAGTACAATTATATATGTATAATATGTTTAGAGTTATTTAACAAATTAATTCTAAGACTAAATTGGTGGGAGAACTGAAAACATAAATAATAAAGGAAATAGCTGCCAGATATCGAGAATAATGTTACAACTAACTTGGTAAAATGGAGAACAACATTTCCAATACCAGGGTACAGGGTTTTTGGAAGAAATATTAATTGATTAAAATGTATCTACGAGTTTTAGAATGATTATTCATCTCCATCTGGCCACACCGTTTCCTTCTAAGTAAGGTAAATATCTGAATTTCCTAGTCTAACCGAAACTCGTATTGTGATGTGTAGGATATAGTTTTCTAGAGTTTTACGACTGGAAGCTTGCACTCTATGTAACTAAAAATAGAACAATGAATTTCCAAAGCTCATTGGTTACGAATACATATGACTGCAATTTTTACATCCGCTTTAAGATTCAATTATTTCAGAATAGGAAAAACTTGAAAAAGTAAGCACCAATAGCAAATGGAAGAAGTAACTGTAACATCAGTTACATGCAGTATATCATATCATCAATACATATGATAATCAATTTCTTATTATCAAACAGTGTATATGAATACGTAGGGTGCAAAGAAGTCCTACCTGCTGAATTTGCACTATACTAATGTACTAGGAAATGGACAGTAATAGATTATTACAAGTTATTACAACAAGAAATCCTGACTAATTTAATTAATTTAATAAAATAGGAAGAGCAACAATAAAAAAAGGAGAGATATACGGTATTAGAGAGACTAATTGAATGAAAAAGAAATATTTAGCAAGCAAGCAATAAGTTAATTACTTACTTTTATAGAATAATATTAATTACAAGTATACCCCAAAAGTAAATAATTAAATAGATAAAATAAAAACTTTCCACAGACAATCTAAAGTATTATCATTTGTCAGAATGTTAATTAGCCTATTGACAAGGATATCTAGTCAGCTGAAGCAGTCTATTCACCGACAAAATCAGCATAAATCAGATAGCAGTAAGGATAATTTGACGTTTTTATAATCCAGAAATATGGGTTTATGGAAGAAAGAACCAAAACTAATTATTAAGAAAAGACAGAATAGGAAATGCGGGCAAATTTGGAATTTGACTTTATCATCTGTTTCACACTTTAGGCTCTCGGACATAAATCGCCGGTTCTCTCTATTAAAGGCAAAGGAAATAATCAAAGTTATCCACTCTCTGACGCGCTTTTATAATTATTAGTTCAAAACAAGAACTCATTCAGCCATGCCTTCACCAACTCTCTTCCTTGACTTTGTTCCCAGCCCGCATTGTGGAAAATATGAACTCGTTTAGTGGAAATCCATAACATCAAGTCCAAATATAAAATGATATAAACAAAAAGATAGAATGCATCAACCTCGAAACCAGAGTATATTTTAAAATATCAAACCAGTGCTATAATGCATTAAACAAAGAAATCATATCAGCCTTGATTGAAAACTAACACTATATAAAGGGTTACAATCCATACTTTGCCAAGCAATTCCGAAGACACTAATAAGTCTTCTAAGAAATAAGAGACAACTAGGGCTGCATATTGGGAGAAGATGGGAGCCTCAGCTTGGCCGAGGCACTGGCCTCGACTCATCTATGCATTAGCATTTTGCCTAATTGCTATTAGTGTTGCTGCTGATGATAAGCCTTACTATGGAGGCAAACCATCCTACTATCCAAATCCAACACCACGAGATCATGAAGAACCCCCACCCTTCTATTACAAACCCCCTCCATATTATTATGAATCTCCACCTCCTCCTCATGTTTATGAATTTCCTCCTTATTACTACAAATCACCTCCACCACCGTCTCCATCACCACCACCACCACCACCACCATATGTCTATAAATTCCCTCCACCTCCGTCTCCTTCACCACCTCCTCCCTATGTGTACAAGTCCCCTCCTCCACCATCACCATCACCACCCCCTCATGTTTACAAGTCACCACCTCCTCCACCTCCCTCACCTCTCCCACCATATATCTATAAGTCACCACCACCTCCATCTCCATCACCGCCACCTCCATATATTTATAAATCTCCTCCTCCACCATCTCCTTCGCCACCATCTCCATATGTTTATAAGTCACCACCTCCTCCATCTCCCTTCCCACCCCCTCCATATGTTTATAAATCTCCTCCTCCACCATCTCCTTCGCCACCACCTCCATATGTCTACAAATCTCCACCTCCACCATCTCCCTCACCTCCTCCACCTTACGTTTATAAGTCCCCACCACCACCTTCTCCATCTCCACCACCTCCATATCTTTATAAGTCTCCACCTCCACCATCCCCCTCTCCTCCTCCACCATATGTTTACAAGTCCCCACCACCACCTTCTCCACCTCCACCACCTCCTTACGTTTATAAGTCTCCTCCTCCACCATCTCTTTCACCACCACCTCCATATGTCTACAAATCTCCACCTCCACCATCTCCCTCATCTCCTCCACCTTACGTCTATAAGTCCCCACCACCACCTTCTCCATCTCCACCACCTCCATATGTTTATAAGTCTCCACCTCCACCATCCCCCTCTCCTCCTTCACCACCACCTTCTCCATCTCCACCACCTCCATACGTTTATAAATCTCCTCCTCTACCATCTCCTTCACCACCACCTCCGTATGTCTACAAATCTCCACCTCCACCATCTCCGTCACCTCCTCCACCTTACAACTATAAGTCCCCACCTCCTCCATCTCCTTCACCACCCCCTCCATATGTTTATAAGTCTCCACCTCCGCCATCCCCTTCTCCTCCTCCACCATATATCTATAAGTCACCACCACCACCTTCTTCATCTCCACCACCTCCTTATGTTTATAAATCTCCACCCCCGCCATCTCCCTCACCTCCCCCACCCTATATCTATAAGTCGCCACCACCTCCTTCCCCTTCACCACCTCCTCCATATGTATACAAGTCTCCACCCCCACCATCACCTTCACCTCCTCCACCCTATCTCTACAAGTCACCACCGCCTCCATCCCCCTCACCACCTCCCCCATATGTTTACAAGTCCCCGCCCCCACCGTCTCCTTCCCCACCCCCTCCATATCTTTATAAATCTCCACCTCCTCCATCTCCTTCTCCTCCTCCGCCATATATTTACAACTCTCCACCACCACCTTCGCCATTCCCACCACCTCCATATGTTTACAAGTCTCCTCCTCCACCATCTCCCTCACCTCCTCCACCTTATTTGTATAAGTCACCACCACCTCCGTCACCTTCACCACCTCCTCCTTACGTATATAAATCTCCACCACCACCTTCTCCATCACCACCTCCACCTTATGTCTATAAGTCACCACCACCTCCGTCACCTTCACCACCTCCTCCTTATGTGTATAAGTCTCCACCACCACCTTCTTCATCCCCTCCTCCAACATATTATCCTTACCTCTACAGTTCACCCCCGCCACCCGTGTATTAAGCTTTCGGTTAAAGCAATTTGAATTTTTTTTCAATAAAATCGTTCAAAATTGTTTCAGATTGTAATTAAGCCTTCGTTAATAATAGGGTCTACACTAAAGTAAGAATCTCAATGTCGTTTCAGTGTAGCCCGCGTTTTGTATGTATCTGTGTTATTCAGAAATATGTTGTAATCTCTTATTTCAAATTTTCGTATAAATTTCATATTTGTTATTCGTTAGTGTTGGTTTCCATTTCCTTCTTTGTATTCTAAATTTGAAATTCATGAATCATGAGAAAAAATTGATTTGATGATGCTTTGATGAACAAAACGTGAAATTAAATTTTGCGCGCGCTCTCTCTCTCTCGATAGATATATATATATATATATATATATATATATATATACACCCGTATACAATAAACAGAGGGATAGTTTTCACTTTTTCAGTTTGGCTGGCGTTTAAAGTAAAAAAGAAAAAGAAATAAAATAGGCGCGTGGTATCCCTTTTTACTTTTACCGTTACAAGTTTAAAATTAAATAATGAATAGATGAACCCTTTTATAATTAGAATGCATCACGTTGGTCAAATCTGTACGCTTTTCTAGCTTGTAAACATGCATAAATAAAATTCTTGTGAATTGTAGACTGCAACTTTCAATTCTACCAATTCAACTGTCTCACTCGGACATACATAAATAAATCTAATCAAGCCACTAGCCCACTACTAAAAAAGTCTCAATTTTCAATAAAAAATATTCCGTTGAAATTAACAACGAAATTTTCGACAAAAAACGTATTCTGTCAAAAAAATTGACGGAATTCGTTTTCCGTCAATAATTTTCGACAGAAAACACATTCAATCGAAAATCTTTGAAAAAAATAAATGTAAAAGGAAATTATATTTGTAGACTCCTCGACGGAAAACGAATTCCATTAAGGGGACTTTTAGACGAAATTTAGATTCCGTTAAAAAATTTCGACTGAAAACTAATTCCGTCAAAAACCTTTATAAAAAAAATGTAAAAGAAAATTATATTTGAGACTTTTCGACAGAATTGAGATTTTGTCAAAAAAAATTTATGAAAAACAAATTTCGTCGAAAACCTTTAAAAAAATTAATGTAAAAAAAATATTTGGGGGCTTTTCGACAGAATTGAGATTCCGTCGAAAATTTTCGACATAAAACGAATTCCGTCGAAAACCTTTGAAAAGAAATAAAAATTGAAAAAAAAAATTCCATGCATTGTTATTCAATTTATAATAAGTAATGAAATGAAATCAATATGTAGAATTTTACTGTTTATTTTTCAAATTAATTTTTTTTTTTGAAAAATAAACAGTAAAATTTAATAAAAATGAATTTTTCATTGAAATTTTTATACATAATTTATAACATATTAATTGGCAAATTGGTACGAAGTGAAAGTATATATTCATTTGATAAGTAAATATAAATTTGAAAATTATATTTGATTATTTTTTACTTTAAATTATATATTTTAATAATTCTTATATAATAAATATGAATGCATATTTTAACATAAAAATTTAAAATTGAAGTTAATAATAATTGATAAAGTTGGTAATAAAAACATATAATTTTCTTCGCTATTATATAATATAAATATTCTTTTTCTTCGATAAAATTAGACTCTTTCAATTTATTTATTAAATAAGCTAAAATATAAATAACTAAAATACTAATAAATTTAATTTATCTTTTATAAATTTATAATTTTTTTATTTAAAACAAAGTGCAGAGCTTGTTAATCTCCACATGAAGGTGGAAATTTTTGCAATATATATATATATATATATATTAAATTAATTCATCTTATATTATATATTTAAATTTAAGAGAGAAAATTAATTTTAATTTGATATATAATAAAAAGTCCGTAAATAAATATTAATAATATTAAATTTTGAACGAAAATATTATTATTATGAGTTTGATTTCAGCGATTCAATAAATTTTAGTATGAAATTCAATTAAATTCATAATTGTTAATTTTTTAAGGGAAAAGACATTGTAACAACCAAGTTATGTTACTACCATGTTACTACCAATCAATCTCATCGTTAGATCGATTATGTTGATCCAACGGTTATATTTATTTCCATATTTGTATGGTTATGATTCCCTATATTTAACGTGAAAACATTAAATATGGGAAATCATAACCATACAAAGGTGAAAATAAAATAAAATATTAAATTTAGAAAGTCATAACCATACAAAGATAGAAATAAATATAACCGTTTGATCAACATAATCAATCTAACAGTGAGATTGATTGGTAGTAACATGTGAGATTGATTGGTAGTAACATGTGAGATTGATTGGTAGTAACATAGTAGTAACACAACAACTTGGTTGTTACAATATCTTTGGCTTTTTCACCATTTTACCCCTTATTAATTAATTAATAACCATTTTGTCCCTGATTCGAAACTATCTACCAATCTGCCCCTTTTTAATCGACTACCTTGCATTTTTAATCGACTAAATGGTCAAAACAGACAAAAATGGCTGTTGGGAGATATAATCGACTAAATCTCCCAACAACCATTTAGTCGATTAAAAATGCAAGCAAGGTAGTCGATTAAGGAGGGACAAATTGGTAGATAGTTTCAAATCAGAGGCAAAATGATTATTAATTAATTAATTAATGAGGGGTAAAATGGTCAAATAGCCCAATATCTTTCCCATTTTTTAATAGTTATTTTAAATTTGGTATTCTTTCAGTTTTTTTACATTTTCACTTTTTCCAAACCTCTTTTTTTCCCAAATCTCGTCCTCTCTAAGGCCTGTATCGATTCGCCTTCACCGTCTCTGACCACGTTGATACCATCAAGCCTTGGTACCTCAGCCTCGTCGACACGTCAATATCCAAAGTGGTACCCACCATCTCCCCATTCAACGCTCATTCCCTCTTCTTCGCTTCATCTGCTGCCAGTCGACGCCAACGCCACCACGGACCCTGCGGCCTTCCTTTCTTCAATCACTGACGATGATTGCAGCTCCGAAATCTGAATACATTCCCTGTTTGTTTGATGATTTGTTCAGCAATTAGTTCTACAACAAATTGGTACATGTAAAGGATCCTCTTGTAGCCTCTTATTCTTATGAAGATGGTTGGTTTTCTCTTTTGTTTGTCAAATATTTTAATTTATAAGTGTCAGGGCAGTACCGGGGCTTGACTTTCGACCCCATGTTGTAGAAGAAAATCCCAATGTCATTATGAACCCTTCTTTGACACAATTTAAGGCTTGTTAGATTAGTGCTACCAGATTGTTGCACTTAAGATCTTTGGGCCTAATTAACCCCAACTGCAAATTGTCTTTTGATGCTTAGTTTTCTGTGATATTGTGCAATCGATTTTTATTTTTTTATTTTTTGAATTATGTAATCAAATATTTAATTTTTTGCACCAAACATGACTCAAGTAAGTCAAAATCATGTTCTCTTGTTTATTTAGTATACGGTTCTGCTCTTAGCTCCAGTTTTTGTGATTGAATTTATACAAGTCAACTTCATTTTATTGGATATAACTTCAAGGAGTGGAATAGACATTTTGACATGTTTTTATATCCTTTCTTCCACGTGGTTAGTTCAATTGTCTTCTGTTGAAGTAGTCAACTATTTTAGTCAAAACAGATTTACATTATTAGATTTTTTATTTATTTTACTTAAAAAGAGTTACGGAGATTTTTAAAGAGCTGGGAAAACATACTATTTGGAACAATGCAAAATCATTTAGAAGATGAATGTTTCTTACGAATGGCATATGTTCAAACTAGAGAAATGTTTAGCCTGGTAAAACTATTATTCTTTTTATTGCTACATGATTATTCTTTTTGATTCTGGTGAATATTTATATTATATTCTTCTTCAGTGGTTTAAATTTGGTAGTGGATTCTGGTTTTCCAATACCTTTTTCAGTTTGTTGTGCAAATTTATAGTATCGGTCAAAGAATATGGTTGATCTATGGTGAAATTACAGCATTTTTTATTGAATATATATATATATATATATATATATATATATATATATATATTATGGACCTAACAAAGGTCTATATTCTAGAAGGTTCAAATAGGGCTAACAGCTAAGAGGGAATTAAGGAAACATTTCTTAGTTATGCTAATCCTACTACGGCAGCAATGGATCAACAATTGGACCCCCAATGCTTCTGAAAGACCCAAAAGTTCACTCTGTCAGGTAACCCATCTATAAATAAGGGGTTAAACCAATAAGGTACACACACTCTAAACTTTCTCTCTTAGTTATCACTGTGCATACACCCCACGCCTTGACTACGTACATCGTTATATTATAGTGCACAGTGATCCGCTTATCTTTAGGGTACCTCTCCTATAAGTATCTGAGGGAGCGCAAATAAATCCAATATTAACATACCAATCTCTGATTGGACATCATGATCTATCAGATCATAATATTGACGCGTCCGTGAGTACGGTAGATTTCTATCCCCATTTAATCGTGGCAAACACGAAGCACGGCAAACGACCGGCATCCAAAAACCAAGAGGATCTGCTTGTCCCAAGGATTAGTGGGTCCTACGTGAGATAGAAAGAAAGGAAAACTTATGAAAGTTTTGTCTCAAGGTAGTGTTTGGTTGGGAAGAAATTTTTTGAATATTAGGGAAATATAATTGATAGAAAAATGGTTGGAAAGTGAGTTTGGTAGGAAAATGTAAAAAAAACTGTTTGGTTCGGCAAAAGTTTACCAGGGAAATTAGATTAAATTTTCTGAGTGTATGTTTGGTTGAAGATAGAATTTTGATCGGAAAATTGTTTGAAATTACAAAACTATCCTTATTTAAAAAACCTGTTGTTTTATTACAAAATACGAACCACAATAAAATAGAGGGGGGTATATTTGTCACCACATTATCCACCTTTTTCAGATATCAGATTTCCTCACACAATTCCACCCGTTGAAAGGTAATCTCCAACAGTGCTAAAATCTGATTTTTACACTTCCTCTTGC